GGGCAGGATCCCGCGCGCGCTTTAAGAGCCGCGTTGCCAGGGAGCGCGTTCTGTACACAGCAACGGGCTGCGGAGCGCCTTAAAGGGCCAGGCGCCGCTGCGAACGCCCCTAGAGGGGTGTCCTGGACTTTGCTGCCCCCATCACCCAGCTGCACGGCAGAACCTGGGGCACCTCCTAGGCCCCTGAAAGCACCAGGCACCTGGTCTGCGGCCAGGGGGGAGAGAGCAGGGCCGTACCTGCGCGCCAGAAGCCTCCTCTAAGAAGGGAATGAAGCACGGCCGTGCAGAGCCCCGTGCTCCACGGGCCTGGGGTCACTGCAGAGGCGTTGCCCCCTCCAAGCCACCTCGGTGAACAGTTGGGACAGGGAAAGGTGGGCTAGTAGTTAAAGCATCTGCTTCCGACCAGGGGAGCTGGCAGGGGTGTCGCAAGGATAAATACACTGCAAAGACTGAGAGTGCACAGACACTGTGTAAGGACCTAGGGCAGCCTGCGGGCTTAGGGCAACTGTGCATGTGCGTAGGCCAAGGGCACGTGCCTCAGATAAAAGATGGGGGCAGCACCGTTCAGACTTCAGATCCTGAGCTGTCTCCTGGGCACTGGGACAGGTGCTACTGATATATCACGGAGTCAGTGAAGAAGCCTGCCCTGACAGCTGCCCAGAGGGCAGGATTCTAGGCTCTGCCAGCAGAGGTGAGCTTGGGCTTTTTTGGGATGGCAAAAAGTCAATCTCCCCCATTTCCTATGGTAGCAAGTGATGTAAAGAGATAATTTCTGAAAAGCTTTTCTGAAGTCAGGGGTCATAGCATGGGAAAAAACAGGGCTGGAAGGGGCACAGGAGGTCATGTCCTAGTCCAGCCCCTGCTCAAGCCAAGATCATCCCTGTCTAAAACCTCCCAGCCAAGTGTCTGTCTAGCCTGCTCTTAAAAACCTCCAAGGCTGGGGATCCCACAGCCTTCTTGGGCATCTGTCCCAACGCTGTTCCAGCTGCCCGCTCTTTGAGTCCTGTGTCTCCATTTACACCTGGGCAAAGTGGCAGCGAAATGTTGCTCAGTTAGACATCAGCTTTCCCCCACTCACCTCTGACTATGCAGAGGACAAGGCAGGCACGGCTCACTAACAGCGCTGCCGGGCGCAGGCCAAAGCTCCCTCCACCCCTGTGAGGAGAAGGACAATCCACTCACATCCTCACAAGCAAATATGCGGAGTGGCTGGAAGAGCTTGAGAATCCCTCCCGGCCCAGCTGAGACGGGGCAAGATGAAGCCACCCAGAACGCAGTCCAGGGGACACAACCCGAAGCAGTCAGAGCTGCCTGCTGCCTGGGAGAATTCGTACCACTGCTTGTGCTTAACCTCTTCAAAGCCCTCGACAGACATGACGCTAAATAACTCTCCTACTTCCCCACCTCTCGGGGGGTATCACCCTGCTACACAGATGGGGTGGCTGAAGTACACAGGGTGACATGACTTGCTGTTGTCACCCATCCGGCCAGTGGCAGGGCTGGGACCCACCTACCTTTCAGCCCTATTTGATCAACCAGGCCACACTTCATTTTCTAATACCACTCAGTGCTGGAAACCCCAGTATCCTGGGTAAATGAAGAGAGGAAACCAGGCAGCTCTTT